AAAGTCTATTGCAGGGAAAGATCTAATTGTCCTTTACAAAATAAATCTTGCTCCACAGTTGTGCCATCTTTTGGCTGCAATCAGTGGTAGAGCATATCAAATTTCAGTTTCACTCTCTTGTCTTCCAAGCTTGCACGTATGAAAGTCATCTCCGTATTCTGAAGAATAAAAGATGATGAAATTACATACAAAGGAGAAAAATAGGTAACTCCACACAGCAATTATGAAAATCATCTCCATATTCAGAAGAATAGAAGATGATGAAATTACTACAAAGAAGAAAAATAGGTAACACCAGCAATAGATGATTATCATAAGTCAAGATTAAAAGCTTCAAACTTTAAATAGTATTACCTCCGGTCTTTTTTGTAAGAAACAAGTTATAGTGTATTTTACACTATAACTTTAAATCTACCTTGGGTCCTTTAAATACACTATAACTTGTTTCTTGTAAAAAGAACAAGAGGGAGTATTATGTAAAGATCAAGCAAAGAACATAGAATATAGTTATTTGAGATGGCATATATACAATGATATTCACTTGCAGTTAAAAATGTTCGACATTACAGTTATCACTTATCACCAACCACATCATTGAGCTAGACAAAATTCCACAAGCCAAGAATGTTCAGATTAGTGGAACCTAAAGCAGTATTTATTGTAAAGGGTTTGAATATTAATGGAACCTTATCAAGAATATTACAAATTGCACTCACTTATGTACAAAGTGCTACTTTTTTGTTGTATAGTCAAAGAGTACTGCAGGAAGCAAACTTAATAAAAGCCAAGGCTGAACCAAATGATAATGTCTAGTTGAAATAAAACCACTGCTTCAGCATTTCAATGGACACAGTTCTTCCCATTATCAGAAGAACAAAATACCAAAAACCATCTGAGTTACAATTCAATTCACTAACTTTAATAAAGAAGGCTAGCCACACTAATCACTACCGATTAGAAATTCTGCATATAAATGCAACGATAGCAAGGACCATTTTTAGGGTTTACCCCTTGACTGAATTAAAGAACAGGGAGAAAAATCTTGTTCTGCATTGAGCATTTCTAAGAAAAAATTCTAGAACAAATATAACAATAAATAAGGATCGTAAATGGTTTGGTTTGGAAAACCGAAATGAACTGTAATGCAATGGACATGTGGCTTAATAATCTGAACTGAACTGTTTAAATTATGTAAGAAACAAAATGGACCAAAATAAACCAGTTGTCCAATTAACTGGTTCTGTGAAAAATGGTTAATATGGAGTGCAATATAGTTTCTGTGCCTTCTATTTTTACCCGATCCTCAGTTCTGTGAAGATCATAATGCCTATAAACTTATCAAAATTAGCAAAAATCATATAATCACACATTTGTAGATCTAAATCCCAATTTCGAACTCAACAGTGAAGAACAACTAAAATCCAAAAGGAACACCAACACCCACACCGAAAGAAGGGATAAGAGTAATGGTGGAGGACTCAGCCTCAAGATTGGTTCAGTTAAGATCATGATAATTCCTTCCGAACACACATTAAGAATATTTTTTCCAAGGAATGAAAAGACAAACAGAATAAGAGAAAATACCAAGATTTTGACCAATGTAGATTGAAACCCTAAGGAGACCAAAAAACATATGCATCAGTTAGAAATTTAGTGATGATAGAGAAAAAAAAAAAAAAAAAAAAAAAAAAAAAAAAAAA